ATATAAATCAAGTAAGTAAGTGAATAAGTAAGTAAATACTCTCTCCCTGACCCCAGCCATCATTTCTCAAGGCAAAACTCATTGAACTCCTTCATTCTGTCTTCAAAGGACTTAATTTCCAGTCCCCCAATCATCCTCAGTGCCCTCAATGGGCCAATTTTAGTTTCCTTGAATCCTTAAATCTGATGCTCAGGACAGGGCACAATATTTGGGGTGGAGTTTAACCAGTGCACATGGACGCAGTGGAATTATTATTTCCTTTGATCTGGAAACTGGTATCAGTATTTCTATTGATACAACCTAAAAGTACGATTGATCATATATTGAGTTTGCAATCAACTACAGTCTAAGATTGGTTTCAGAAGTATTATTACCAAGTCATTTCCCAACCTGTATCTCTGCATTTGTTTTCATATCCTTCAGTCAAGGAACTTCCAGCTCATTTCTTTAGCTTATCAAATAATCCTGAATTCGGTTTCTGCCTTCTAGAGCATTAACAATCCCAAGTAGCTTGTATCATCTATAAATTTGACAAGCATTCTATCCATCTCTTCATACAGACTCAATAAAAGTAGTTTTAGTCTTCCTGTGGACTTTATTTCCTGATCTAGTCTACCTGGTGGGTTGACACATCCATTCCATACTGAACAAGGACCCTCAGATTGCACACTAATATCAAATGGGGAAGTGCAATGCAACCTCATTGAGAGTTAATGATGGAATATCTTGAGAACCAGGAGGCCCAAATAAGCACAGCCACTCGCTCTCTTCAGGATTGAGCTGATATTTCTGTTCCTCCCCATCCAGGCCTGCATAGCCTCCAGTTGCTGGTCTAGGACTTCGACAGCATTATTCAGCTGGCCCAAGGCTCAGATGTATAAGTGGGTGTCATAGGGATACTGATGACACCTGACTCCAAATCAATGGATGATCTCACTCAGTGGTTTCGTGTAGATGTTAAAGAGAAGGGGGAAAAGTGTTAAACCCTGCAGTACCCCTCAAATAAGGAGTTGTGGCCGTGATCTCTCCCCACCTGTCAACATCGAGTGAAACCAGCCACAGAGAAGCAGGAGAACCATTGCAAAATGGTGCCTCCTTCCAACCACTGAAGCTGGTTCAAAAGAAAACCATATGCACCAACCCCATCCTGACAAACACAAACCCTTGCTTGAAGCCCAACTGAAATAGGTGCAGTTATTCCATTTCCTCAAGGTTTCTCTGGAGCTGAAGCCTGATCACCTTCTCCACCACCTTCCCTAAAAAAGAAAGTTGGAGATTGGACAGTAATTGTCCAGGACCATTGGGTCCTGTAATGGCTTCTTGAGGAGAAGGTGCACTACAGCCTCCTTCAAGGGTGATGGGCACCCCCTCACTCAAGAGACCAGCACCACCACATGGATCCAATTACAGGTCACCTACAGGGCAGCTTTCACTATCCAGGAGAGACCTGGATCTACTAGGCAGATGGCTAAGCTAACAGACTGGAGAACCCTTTTCATTTCCTCAGGAGTCACAGCATCAGACTAACTCCAGATAATCTTATAATATTTTCCAATACTATTGGATTTTTTCAAATCCGTAATTCCAGGAAAAAACACACTGTTCCAATGACACCGATGCAATTTAAAATAAAGTAAATTTTATAGGTTAACTGATGATCATATTGGCTAAATAATGATCTAATAAAGCTTCAGGAAGAAGCTTTATTTTCTCCTCTTCCTCTTCCTCTTCCTCTTCTTCCTCTTCTCAAATAACAATACAGTCGAGATTTTGGTACTAAGCTCAAATATTTATATCCTTTTTCATACTACAAAAATAACTCAATGTACTTAGTCTGGTATGGTCAATCTTTTATTAGTGTTATATTGAGCATTAATTGTATCACTTTAGTAATTCCCTTTGTCCACTTATCAACATTATCTCTTCTGAAATTATGTCTCTGTTTCAAATTAACAGATACATAAAAAGATTTCACCCCTGCTGGTGAGTTCTGTTAACGCCATGTCCATGTTCTAACTAGCCCTGTGTAACATTAGCCCAGCATCTGTTTCTTTGCCATGGAATGTCCTCCAACAATTTTTTAAAGGATAAAGTGCCATTTCTTCCTTCTGCCCTTGACTTTGCTCCTCCTTTCGCTCACAACCACTTTAAGCACATCTTCTGACTCCTTCCCTATTTCAATTTATTTCCTCATGAGAATGCTGTCTGGCAAGGAAATGGCTATCAGAAGAATATTTTATGTAGCAATGTTACATAGTAGTGCAGTAAAGTTGGGCCCGGATTGGTTACTGAGGGAACTCATTTGAAATTACTGCTGCTAATATGATTATTGATTTTAGTGGGATGTTTCTTTTCTTTTTACTGTAGCTTATTAGATCTGTATTTTATGCCTTCTTTTTTTTAAGGATAGGTATTTTTTTTAAGCTGCATATTGCCTTGGGTACCTGGAGATGGAATATGATTTCAAAATCCAATACTTGAACTTTTGAAATGGCTTTTAGTGAGTACTGATTAAACTGTTTAGGATACTATCGACCAGTTGCATCTTTTATATTTTCTTAGGGCCAAAATTCCAATGTCCACCATCAATTCTTCATTAAAATGCATACCTTGGACAAGAGTTAGCTTTTTAAAAATTACTGTAATTTCTCTATCTTTTCCAATTTCATTGGAAGTCTTTACTTATATTAGATTGTAGCTTCACCTTCCTGCCCCTTGAAATCAGAGATCATAATCCCTGTTTATAAGCAGTGACAGATTCCAGAGAAAAATGTAAAGCAGGCGAGTTTTGCGTTCTTATCTTGATGACAACTTAACATGTCACTGAGTCCTTTTAGCACCAGAGACATCACTCTGGCTTCATAATCCCTTCAGAAAATTCTTCTTGACAATTATAGACAAGTGACATCATGATAAGTATGTGTGTGTGTGTGTGACCTGGGGGGGGCGCAGGGGGAAGAATACATTTCCTTACGGAACTATTGGTAATCCTTAGAACAGACTATCATGAAAATGATTATTTTTCATAAGTTGACCTACTTTTTTGTTTATCCACCAAATGATGGCTGTCTTGTCTTTTTCCTGGTGTCAGTTGCTCATGTGAAAGTCAGTTATGATAAAGGGTGGTAACTGCAGACAGCTGTCCTAATGGGCACTGGACAGACAGAATGGCTAGCATTGCTGAACTGTTTAGTCACCGCGACTGGAATGAAGCTCTTGTATTTCATACTGATTCAGATATTCAGTGCCGTTACACTGCAGGACTTTTCCTCTTCTCCTCACCCTCCCTCAACCCCACCCCCCTTCAATTCCTGTCCTTGACACTAGATCTGGCTAGTTAATATGCCTGGAATGTGAAAACACCTATTGCTGAACTGTTTGGATTCCCAGGTTGGAAGATTATCTCACTCCGAAGAAGTTTTTGCAAAGATATATAAACTAACGGAGCTTGGCATGCCTCAGTCAAGTTGCCTTGGATAGTAAAGGCATCTTTCTTGAGAGGAGTACTACAGTCTACCATCAGCTTTTGACCAGCCAACAGCCACTATGATGATGCTACTGGTAGAAGATCTGGTAAGTGTAAAGCTACCTTCTGTAATCATTTTTAAAGGTGGGCACTGCATCCAGTTTAATAGCATGTGGGGTGAATAGCATGTCATAGGAATTGTGTCGCTAAGAGAAAACTGTTTCTTTTGATTGTGGATGAACTCATGCTACACATGTGAGAATTATATTGCAATGAAAGTGTCATTGGTGAATGGGTGTGGTCCTTCCAAGCAAACAAGAACAAAGAAACAAAATTTACCATTCGAATTTCAATTCACATATGAACTCACCAATGGCCTTAGCATAGCTGTGGTCCCACAGTTTTAACCACTACTAACCTGTTACATTGTGACAGTAATGATATTGTCCTACGTTAAACGATTATTATGAAGATTAATGAAATAATGATGTGTGTAAAATGCTTTAAGCCAGTAGGGAAAGGGTTATTTATCGCTGAAACTGTCGCTGAAGAAAATGGTCTAACTTTAGGTTAAATACAGGTTATACGTTTAACAGTAGTAGCTTATGTAGAAATATGCTGTACTATCGTTTAGCTTGCAAACTGTTTAGAAAGGGAGCTTGGTCTTATTTAAGTGCCAACAAACTTTTAAAAAGAGAGTATTTATTGTATGTCATCTTTTGCCTTGTTGAGACATTCAAGATAGTTCACAACAAAATACAGCAAAAGCAGTGGTAGCGTGATGGGTTTAAAGCTACTAATTGTGATTCAAAGTATTTTCAACTATGCATATACTATGCCAGGCACACAAACCTGGCTCGGAGACCCATTCTGGACAATGCAATAAAGAATCAAAACAGGACTTAAATGACCTAGCTTTAATAGGCCTCTAGTCACCTCTGGTGTTTATGACTGTGTTATTAATGGCAGCAAGTAGTAGTGAAGGAGTGGAAAGAAAATAGAAATGTTTCTGAAATAGTTGCTTATCTCAAACAATCCAATGAACACTTCAGCTGTAATTATAGCACATAGTTGTTGTTCTGACAAATAAGCAAACCCTTTAGTTATTCCACCACTCAGAGCTTAATTTGTCACCGAATATTGGTATGACAACCTGGATTGTTGTTTATTAGGTCTAGAAAATGAAAAGTGAAAGTATATGGGTAAGTCTCATGTAATTTCCTGAGAGTATTATTAGTGAATTTAATTGGACTGAACATAGTGGGTCTTATTTCTGAGTAGATACGCATGGACTACTGTAGTTTGATCTGAAAGAGGTCTGAGTAAATCTTTCATGAAATGTGGATTTCTGTCCTTTCAATGTATATATGGTTTGTCAACAACTCACAAATAAAACTGGTGTGAACTCAAGAACAACATGATAAATTTTGTACACCCAGGAGATTTTACAGCAGGATCCCAAGTCACTTTAAGCTTCTAAGCCAGAAAGCATTTCAAAGCAGATGGCATAGGAGTCTGTCAGTCTATAGAGGGTGGGAAAGAGAAAGGGAGTAGGATATTTAAAACACACACACACAACCATTGTGCTCTTGGATAGATTCTCCATAATTTCTCTTAATCCAGCTAAACATAGTCATGACTAAAACCCACTGGAAGCATTGGGATTTACAGAAGTCACAGCTAAGTTGTTTCAGTGATTTCAGTGAGATGTAGCAACATCTAACTTTATCTGTTGCATACTGTGAATGCTGCATGCTTGCAACGGAAAAACTTGATTTTAAATTTAATATAAATGTATTAAGGGCACTGATTTTTTTCTCTTCAATGTAAGATCTTCTGTATCTGAGTCCATTCACATCCAAATCGTCCCATGTATTGCCACCTCTGCAAATGCTAAGTCTAATTCAAGCTCATTCCCCTTTCTACCTGTCTGTTCTGATGCCTCTGCTTAGTAACAGGTGCCTAGTTATCATATCATTACTGCAACAATTGCTTAGTTGCAGGCAACTAGTAGTCCTGGCATTAGTTGATGACTAGGCGTGTGCAGCTTAGTGACTGTATGGCTAATTCACATTAATATATAAAAGTCTGCCCTGGCACACTTAAAGCTTCTGGGCTTTCATTGCCCCAGGTCACACTGCTGCTGTGATGGCAAGTGCCCTAATGTAAGTTTAGATGTTGCAACCCAATACATCCGTGGTCCACAGTAGTAATTGGTCTACAGTTTCCTTAGTCAGTCTACCATCCTATCTCCAGCCCTCCTCTGTGTGGGTGAGGGAGAACCGCAGGATTATTTTCTTCAGGGTTTCTCTATTTTGTTACATACCTTGTCCCAGTCTCTCAGATTGCTGCCAGCCTTAACTGTTTTCCTTGAACCACTCAGTCTCTTGATAACTATCCTACTCTTGCGATTTTGTCATTCCCTCCTAACAGAATTGAGCATGCTGTTCTTAAGGACTAATGATAGCCCTCTTGCTTTTTCCCCCTCTGGCTCTTTCCAAGCTTCACTGTCACCAATTTCTCCTTTGGGTTTCTCTTTTGCAGTCTGTTGCCTCTGCTGCATCCTTTCTTCAGACTCCTTGCTTCTGAATATCCTGATACTTAACCTTTTCCCACAGACATTGGATTGCAAGTATACTATTGCCCTCAGCAATGCAGTTCATGCTTTCTTATCAGCTCACTTACCTTTCCTCAAGGTGCTGCCTCTCATGATGATCTTGGGCCATTGATTTCACTTCTATTTCTCAACAGGTTTTTTCTTCTGCATCTCCCAGTGGTTGTGCAACCTGTTTTTCATACGCTTTCTCCATGTCTTGGTCTGTCAGGGACAACTTTTTGGAACTTTAAGCTTAAGGACTAATGATAGCCCTCTTGCTTTTTTGTTTCCTTTCACAGATGACAGGCAAAAAGACAGATGGTAGAGAAACAGGGGATTTCCTTCCGGAGGACTTCAAAGATGGAGAATATGAAGCTACAGTGAGATTAGAGAAGCAAGAGGACCTGAAGACCGTCATTGATCCCTCAGTGACACGTCGCAATTTGACTTACAAAGAGGAGAAGGAGCTGCAAGCTGAGGTAAAATATTGAGTTCTTGTGTATCTTCTAGGAGTATATCACCAATGTTTTGATTTACTGTTGTTCTCTACTACAATCATATCAGAAGGAATGTTAGGTCACAGGTCAAAGATTCTGGTAGGATTATGCTGAAAATTAGGAAAAGGTCACTCAGTCAAGCCTAATTATAATGAGAAAACCAGGAATTTGAGATGTGAAAGAAATTAGAAGGATGAGCTATTGAGAATCCCTGGGGAATGCCTAAGCTTTGCATTCATGATATAACACAATTTCACTTTCAAAGAAGTTCTAGCTGAAAGCTTCTCAAGCCACAAAGTTTGTTTTGAGCATCTGGACTATGTCTGCTACTCATGGAGCATCAGACAAGATCGACCACAGAAACTTCATGGTACAAGTCCATATGAGTATGATTTAAAAACTCCTCAGATGCTATAGGTGGTAGCAGGTTATTTGCTTCCCTACCTATTTACCTATAAAAAGGAATACCAGATTAGAAAACTCTAATGCTTGTAGTTCTTCTCCTGCCATGCAGCAAATGATTGTACAGTTATCCTTAGCCAAAAACACAAAAAAAAACCCCAAAAGTCTTGCTAGGGCAATCTTCCCCAATCTATCATCCTCTAGACATGTTGGGTTGGAACCTCCCAGAAGTCCCAACAGAATGGAACTCAAGAAGTCGATGTCCCAACACATCCGCAGGAAGATGAGTTGGAGAGACACTAGAGCTCTTATTAGCAAACTGGCAGAAAATCATCAGGCTAGAATTTAAATGACAGAATTTGTTGGCAAACTATCCCATTGATCTACAGATGTAAGTTATCTTGCTCTTGATTTAATGTTAATGTGAGCCCATTGCAAAGGATCTGAAATGCTCCCCTTGGATAGATTCAGAAGCATTAGAATAGGAAAACTGATCAGGATTTTTGTACAGATTGTTCTACTGGCCCTCTGAGAATGTGCAGGAATCATAAATGCAGCTTCTGTACTGTTTGTTTATTCATTTATTAAATCAATTTATATAGCCATCCAATCAACATGCAACATAGGATGGCATAGACAATGAAAAAACAGCAAATAATCCCAAAAAGACATTAAAAGATAGTAAAACTTTTTGTGCTAGAGGTACAATAACTTCAAACAGGCCTGGACAGTTGTAAACAGTTAAGATCAGTGTTTCTCAACCTTGGCTGCTTTAAGCTGTGTGGACTTCAACTCCCAGAATTCCCCAGCCAACTAACCCTAACCCTAACTATGTTGGCTGGGGAATTCTG